GCTCTATCGCTTTTCTGAAACCTCTCGTGATTGTATGATTTTCATCCACGACTGATGATCCTAATTCATAATTGGCAAATAGTTTCCTTTAAATATAGGCTGACGGGGGTATTGGAGCCTATTAGAAACTGCAAAACCGTAGAAAAAATAATCCAAAATCGAAAAACCGAAACAAAAATCGATCAAAACCGAAAACCGCATCCAAAACTGTCAAAACCGATACATTTTCACATCCTAGTTGTCAAAACCCTGATCGATCAGATACAGTGGTGATAAGTGGAGCATACAAGGTAAACTACACTAATTTGATTACAGTATTTGTGAATGCCACGGACTTGTCATTCGTATCTTCTAGTATCTGCTTAAATCATAAGTTCAATTTCAGCTGCTCTCTCGAGGTCCAATAAGAGTGAATCGCCTTGAAACGCTCTTTTTTTCATTTTCGTTGCTTCCCCGCCATGGAACAGATCGATGCTCATGGTATTAGTCATAATCTTCCTCACCGATCGTGAATTTCCAATTTATATAGATATCGCGTATTCTAAGTGTATAAGGACTGTAAGTCTTTTTTAAGTCTGTATCGTCCTAAGCGATCCATAAATTATATATATAGTAGGGGCGTAGCGTGAGATTTCGATGGTGTATGCACAGCGCAGAAATTGAGAGCGCCGAAGGCGCCCCAAACTAAGGGGGTCTGGGTCAACTGTGTTTGACCGGGTGTTACGAAGACCCTGTAAACAGAAAACCGTAGAAATTACAAGTTAAACGCACATTAAACAGTAACAACGCTTAGTAATATAATACATTACACTTCAAGCGTTTCTTCCCATTATCATACTACCCGTATTATTGAACTGCCCGTATACGGCCCCTCTTGTCAGTGTTCTTTTTCGCTGTGCGAGCCAATTTGGTGTTGATATTCTCGAGGGTTTCCTCGTGTAAACTTACTACACATAATATTATTCTGGAACACCAGGCAGAATACAGCCACCTTTGATTTATAGTAAGCATTGCGTGACAGAATAATAGAGAAAGCGTTATGTACAGGAAAATTTACCCTTGAGTTCTGTCAATAAAAATAATCAATTTCTACTGGGGCTCGGATTTTTTCTATTACACTAAAAATAGATTCTGACGGTTGTTTGGCTAATGCAGGGTCTTCGTTTTCGTAGTACGAAAACAAAGACCCTGCATTAGCCAATTGCTTATTTTTTTAACGAGAATTTTCCAGCAGAGAAAGCTTAACGACCGTCAGAATCTATTTTAGTTACGAAATGCAGTAGAAATCGATTATTTATTGACATAACCCGAGAGTCATTTTTCTTGTACAGAAAGCTTTCTCCGTTATTCTGTCACGCGATGCTAACTATTAATCAAAGGCGGCTGGCGTTGGAATTCTGCCTGCTGTTCCAGAATAATAATAATATGTTGTAAGTTTACCCGAGGAAACCCTCGAGAATATTAACACCAAATTGGCTCGCATAGCGAAATAGAACAGACAAGACGGGGCGTATAATAATACGGGCAGTACAATAATGGGAAGAAACGCGTGAGGTGTAATGTACTATGTTACTAAGTGTTGTTACTGTTTAATGTGCGTTGCACTTGTAATTTTTACGGTTTTCTGTTTCACAGGGTCTTCGTTTTCGAACACCCATGTTTGACCGGTCGCATTACACGCGTTACAAAGAAAGTCGCCAAAACAGCGTTAAATGAACTGTAAACGACAAACCAGCTACGGATAAAAGGAAAGGAGACTTCATACGATGTATTCCTCGCTTTTATTTTCCTTTTGGATTTTCTCTTAATTTTTTTTATAATTTTTCCTATTTTACAGTTGACCGGTGACACCGCACGCGTTACAAAGAAAGTAGCCAAAACAGCGTTAAATGAACTGTAAACGACAAACCAGCTACGGATAAAAGGAAAGGAGACTTCATACGATGTATTCCTCGCTTTTATTTTCCTTTTGGATTTTTTCTTAATTTTTTTTATAATTTTTCCTGTTTTACAGTTGACCGGTGACACCGCACGCGTTACAAAGCAAGTCGCCAAAACAGCGTTAAACGACCGTTGGCAACAAAGTGGCTACGGAAAAAAGGTAAGGAGACTTCACATGTTTTATTCCTCGCTTTTATTATCCTTCTAAATTTT